AATAATATACGGATTGTGATTAAACTTTCCAAAAATTTCAAGTCTTCAATGCGCGACTATGCGCGGCGATTTGCAGTACAATCCATCAGTAAGTTGGCAAAAGCCCTACGCCCCATTGAACAATAATGTTCTTGGGTACAAGCTACAGCTTCCAAGGGCCGTGTGGATGTATATGGAGGCCCCTTTAGGAGCCCTGTAGGCCCTGCCGCGGACGCTAAGCTGACGCGCGCTTGAACTGTCGACAACGCCGTGGGGCTAGGCAACTTTTCCAACGTCACTGCCGTTCTGCAGTGTCGTGCGGCGGCAGCCGACCTGTCGGCCCCGAGATCAACTCTTTAGACAGTCCCCTACCAGAAGGACCTCCCCCCCCCACTATTTCCTCGCTCGTTCTCGTTCAGAACAGGGTCGACCCTGACGTCAGGGTGAATGACAACGCCTGCGGTGCGTCGGGTAGGCCCGCCCGCCAAGTGTCCGTGTGGAGATGATGGCCTACCCACAGTGCCTGAGCGACCCGCTCCAACCCACCCTGCAGCGAGACTACTACGTGCAACACTGTTGTATGCGGAAAGAGTTCGTCAGGCTTTTGGTTGGGTGCTTGTGACTTTGCGAAGGTAAGAAACTGCTGTTGTTATTTTCTTTTTGCTCTAGTTCGGCTTCGTAAATTATAGGTTTGTCAATATAGTGTCATAGAAACACCTCTGGCTATGCGTAGATGCGGAAGAACGCAAACGTGACAAGTCTCATTCACAAACTTATTTTCATAACCTCATTTTGAATTTATAACTATACCAAACTTTTTTTGTCATCCCTCTCCTCTTAGGCAAATTTAAATGCATGTTTAAAGTATCTCTTGTTTCACTTTTCTGAGGCTGTTGGTATTTGGTATTTTTAGTATACCTCACGTAATCCTCCATCGTCATGGGACTTGCAAATTTTTTGGAGGATCCATTCAATAAACTCTTTAAAATGCTTTGGTATGGTATGTAAAACATATTAATAAAATAGTTTCATTAATAGCTCCAAAGTTCAAACATGCATGCATGATGCATTTGCATTGCTGAACACTACGTTTTTCAACATGCTCAAATGAGCTGTGGCGTTTGGCTGTGGTCAACTCGCAAAATATGTTAAGAGAGTGCTCAAAATTGTACCATTAAACTTGAAAACAAATTTCATTGCTCAATTAAGACCAGCGTCTTTGCTTCTACTATGGTACTACTCATGTCTGTAGGTGTTATGTGTTCTGAGATGAAAGTACCAACGCAGTTTTAAGGGTGACACGACCGCACTGAAGACAGTACACATTCTTTGTACCAATAAAAAAAGGTGAAGTGGGCTGGCAAAGAATGATCAATAAAAGCCTCAAATGAAAAATTGATTGATATTTTTCATAAAGTTGGTGCAGTGAATGTACTAAATAAGACCATAGAGAAATTGTAGCCCTCCTCCTTTAACTTGTCACCCTCAACAAGCTCTAGTTCATGACCCTGATAGAGATACACAGGTAGCAGAGGCAAATAATTATACTTAATAAGTACAGTGAAGATGTTTTTAAAAAAGAAAAGAGCGCCAGTTTGCTCATGTTCAATCCTTAGGAAATAACTGTTTTTAATCTCAGATACAGTCCCCAAAATTTTGTGTTTTTCAAGGGGGATTCTAAATTTTAGTTCACGTTTAATGAGTTACCAGAAATAAATTTTGAAGCCTCTGAGATCCCCAAGGTCTTAAACCTTTCTGCTGCACTACTTGCAAAAGGGGATATATAGAGGAAACCATGAAGCAGGACTGGAAATGAGGCCTGCTTACAATTTTGCCAAGTTTATTTATTTTCATGAATTCTTACAAATATTGATTATGATTGTATAGGTTCAGATTTTTCTTGTATCTATTGGTTGATTTTGCCTTTTCCTCTGCTCAGAGACAGGCAAAAATATTCCAGTTTGTGCCAACTGCATGCTCTTTTTCTTATTAGTACTGGAAGGAATGGATAAAAATGTAAAACAAGGGAAACTATGAACACAAAATAAATTTTGTGCTAAGTAGGAAACTCGTTCTTTAACCAAACCAGGGTAGTTCTTCAAAATCAGTTCGTGCTTTTATCTCAGAGTAATGGGGGAGAAGTGTGTGACGAATAAAAGGTACATTTTAAACGCCCGCGCGCTCACTGTGAAGTAGTTACTATGTCCGCCCACAGGTGGCAGCATGGATGGCGCCGCCATAACCTCACGTACTCCTCCACCGTCACGGAACTTGCAATTTTTTAAAGGGGCATCAATTAAGTAAACTCGTTAAAATGCTTCGGTAGCGACTCAAAACATATTAATAAAACAGTTTCATTAACATCTCAGAAGTTCAAAGATGCATGCATGATACAGTTTCGTTGCTTAACACTACGTTTTTCAACATGCTCAAATAAGCTCTGGTCTGGGACTTAGAATGAAAACACGCAAAATGAGGTATTCCAGCGGTTAGAAGAACAAGAAGAAATTCCAATATGGCCGCCGCAGAACATAACAAACCATCAACTGTTTTCCCGAGCAGCCGCTCGCGCTCGGGAGCCCCAATAACCTACCTAATGCTATATCGCGTCTGTTGGAGTCAAATTTGGTATTGCTTGAATCGGAAGATTATTTTAAGTGTTCCCCTCTTTCTTCCGATCAAAATGATACCAAATTTGACTCAAATAGACGCAATGTAACGATGAGCGCAAAAGGCTGCTAGCAGCCGCTTCGAGAAAACAGTTGATGGTTTGTTATGTTCTGCGGCGGCCATATTGGAATTTCTTCTTTTTCTTCTAACCGCTGGAATACCTCATTTGTTAAGAGTGCTCAAAATTATGCTATTAAACCTGAAAAAAGGTTCGTTGCTTTAATTGAGACCAGCGTCTCCGCTCTACAGTGGTACTATT